CTAATAACAAGTAAACTGGAGTTGAGAACTTAACTGGCTTACACTTTTCAGTGGTCACGGTTCCTTAAATCTCTACCCAGCTGTATCTAAATCCACTTTGCTCCACCCTTTAGCAGCACATGTTAATCAAGGACAGGATAGGGAGTCCCAGTCCGAGAACCCACTCCCTTCCTGGAGCTCTGTGGGGGCTCAGCAAGAGTTACGTCTGGTAACTATGTCTTTTCTACGTTGCTGTGAGCTGGACAAAAAGAGAAAACTTTCCTCTGTCAACTTTTCAGCTTGTCTTGATACTGTATATGGTGCAAGAACAACTGCATGTAGCAGCCTTCAGTGAGGGACTTTGGACCTCTGCTCAAGCTTTCCTAGAGGAATATACAGTATTTCAGGCTGTGGGAAAATGTACTGGCGAAACCATATTAGGTAAGGCTGCCTGCACTGCCGAATACCCCCTCTAGATTAAGGATGGTTTGTCTTTTAATAGTACTTATTTTGATTGTGAATCGGGACAGGATAATGAAAGGAACTAACGTGCCTGGAACCGAAGGTGAAGGCATATGTTCCCCTCTTGCTTTTGCTGCTTCTGTAACTAGATGGTAGTAACTCCACAGTGATAAAGAAATGTACGGAAAGAGAACGTTTTAACTGGTTGTCATCCAGAAAGTGTATGATATCTGTATCTTTCTGGAAGAAGGCATAATTACATAGGCATCATTACATACGTAGTGGGAGGACGGTTAGACTAGATGATCTTGAACATCCTTTCCAACTTTGTGATTCTATGATTCATACACGTCCTTGTTTCCTCTTTCTCTCCCTTCTGTTTCTCTTCTGTTTTTTTCACTTTTTTTAAAATTCATAATCTTAAGACTGTTGGTCTGATAATTACTGCCATTATCAAATATTTATAGTTTATAATTTCAGTGCTAGATAAGTCTTTGAAAATGTTCCTTCCCTCCCTCGAACTCCAAACATCTTTTTTTGTTCCCTGTGTCATATTAACAAAATCTAATTCACTTATTTGACTTTCGTAGAATTCTTTTCATTGTGACTCTGATCTGGCAGGCCATTCATTTAGGAAAAGGTAAGGAAAACTTTGTTTTCCCACTGCTCCTTGTTTCTTTTATAGATTTATAGTGTGTATTGCTTTATTACAAGCTATCCTTCCATTTTTGCACTCCATTTCAAGGCCGTGAAAAAGAAGAACATGAAAAAAATGTGAAAAATCTCAGCACCACAGCACAAAAGCAACAGCCTAAGAATTCATTGACAATTATAGATGCTTTCAGTGACATGAATCAGAGTTACCAAAGCAGAAAGCAACAAGGTTCCAGGGAATTTGTACCTTTCACTGGGATTACAGAGAGTAGGTAACTTTATTCGCTTAAACAATGTCAGAAAATGGTTCGGTTTTTTGTTTCTGAGGGTTTGTTTGTTTTTAATACAATACTATAATAATCCTTTGATGGTTCTCCTGGGCCCTGAGTTGGTGGAAATCTTCCAACCTGTTGGTTTTCTATGGTAGTTTTTAAATTTTCCCATGGCATGTTACAAAATGTTGCTGAGAATTTAAGGTAAAAGTAGCAGTAAAAATCTCTCATCTGCAAAATGTTTCACACTGATAAAATAGAATGTTGGGAAATAATAAATATTTGGACTCTTGGACTTGGAAAGGAGTTCATAAAATTTTGTAAAGTCTTCTCTATTTTGTAAAATCAATCGTGACCAAAAAATATTTCACGAAAACAAAAGAAATTGAGCAGAAAAGCTCTATCTCAGGCATCACAGAAATGCCTGCGGGAACATTCCCTTTCAGACTCATGACTAAGCGGCGCTTCTCCCTAACAATGCCTCCTTTCTTCGAAAATTAGCAGCATTTCCCTGTAATTGCTCTCTTTCTCCGTGTGACTGAGACATGCCTCAGTCAAAGTGAAATAATTCACTTGGGTATGTGCTGCGTCTGTGGGACATGCCAGACCTTTCTTCTTGACCATGCCGTAATCCCTGGTAGTTTGCTTCTAATCCCTAACAAAACAAACTCGGCCTAACTATGCAAACACTCTCAACAAGCAGCTAATTTTATTGTCTCTAAAGACAATAGAACTATGTATGTTTTGCAACTGGAGAGAACAAGTGAGGAAAAAGGGAAGTTCACAGCCCATTGAATGCTTGGTAGACCCAATGTTGTCTTGCTTTGTAAACTCCTTAATACCGTCTCGCAGGTAAAAATCTGAACAGGAACTGCTGCCAAAATGGAGGGACCTGCATCCTAGGGGCTTTCTGTGCATGCCCAAAGCATTTTAGTGGCCGGCACTGTGAACTAAGGTAAAGATTAAATCAAAACCAGGGAGCTCCAGTTCTGTCTGGCTATATCTTATGGTAAATGTCTCCCTTGTCCTTGACAGAAAGTGCGGCAGCATTGCCCATGGCGACTGGGTGATGAAGGGCTGCTGGCTGTGTCGGTGTCTCTATGGCACTCTGAAGTGCCTCTCTCAAAACTTGCAAGACAACTGTGGTAAGGGTCAGTGGTAAATTGAGGGCTTATTTTATTGTGGTTTTTTTTTTTTTTTTTTTTTTTTTTTTTTTTTTTTTTTTTTTTTACAGGCGGGCAGCGGAATTGTTTTCTGAAATGTTGGTTTACTTGAAGAAATGCTAGATGTGCTCTATTTTAACTTTTTTAACTCTGTTTTGCTTCAGAGAATGTCAGTGAAATAGTGAATAACACAACTATTGCTTTATATAGCATAAAATACTGGGAAATCTTTATAATCCTGTTCAGCAGAAAACTATTTTTCCCATTTTAATTTGAAGTTACAGAGATGAATATTTTCTTCTTCTGCAAAATCTGCATATCCTTGAGTTTCTACACAACTAAGCAATTTATATAACAAAATTGCACAGTAAATTTATATATATATAGATTTTTATTTTTTTAAAATCAGGAGAAAGAGAAAACAGATGTAAACTATTGTAGTAGTAGAGAACAATATTAAACTAGAGAAATAAGTGCTGAAAATTATAGTATAAGCTGCTCAACACATACAAGTGGCTAAAAATTAGTCTGAATTCTGTGGGTTAATTCTCAGAATACTGCTTTATGAAGTTCTAACACTGAGCATTCTACACAAATAATGTACAGTCAAAGCTGTGGCCAGTGTACAGTAGCAGCATACAATCTCCTCAAATGCACTATATTTGTTATCTTTAGAATTCAGTTGGTTAAAAAAACAAACAAAAAAAACCATATAAAGGTAAAGCTCTGAGCATTTTTAAATGCAGTATATCAACAACATTGAAAATTTACAACATTGCTTTGTATATACTTACTTTCCATGGAAAACTGAAAGCTGTTATAATTAACATTTTCAATATCCTGAGATTATTAATAAGATTTTAATATTATTTTATCTCTATATGCAAAGTTAGTGCATAATATTCTTGCTGTCCTCCATTCTTAATGTTTCACTCTTACCTTGTCAGCATCAAAATTACAGTTTGGCACAAGAGAGAAAACTTACCTAGTCTCACTTGTACCCAAAATAACTACCAGCCTCTTCTTTCCTGACCAGATCCCTATCTGTGTAGCACTGCACTGTGAACCTGCAACTTCTGATTTATACTATGCTTCCAGAAATAAACTGTTATTTAACAACTTGAGTCTCTCAAGTCCCTTGGAAAGGTTAAATTCTTATATTTGCAAGCCACAGATAAACAAGCAATCAAAAAACAAACAAACAAAACAAAAAAAACCTTTGGCCTTGATTTTTTTTTTTTTTTTTTTTTTTAATTACATGAAGCATCTAACTGGCAGCAGTTAAGCTCTTCTGAGGAGTTAAATGTTCTAATGTTTTAGCTCTCTTTAGCATTCAGTTTTGAATCGATTATTTCCTGTTACAAAAGCAAAAAGCCTAACAGACCTGGCCATGTTCAGTGAAGGCAGTAATGTTCATTAAAAACTACTCTCCAGTTCCACTTAATAAAGACTGTAAAAGTAATACTGGAAAACCAGTACTTCAAGCAGAGACTCAGTGGCTTTCACATGTGTGAGATTATGGCTTTCTGGTTTTAACCTGGTTAGGGTTAAAAGTCTACACGCAGACTTGGTGCCTACCTCTTGTGAAGATGTTGCTTTTGCTTGGTATTTACTTTTGATTATTCTGAGATCAATGCCTGCAAGAGCTGATAAGTGATATCAGTTGCTCCTCAAACGATCACTGATGGGACACTCATTCACAGTTTCTCTCTTGAGAATAACTTCTTTGATTGGTTTTAGCAGCTGATACTTTCAACTTAAGTACCTGTGAGATGTTTCAGAAGTTCCAAAGTATGTTGAAAATCCTCGTTATCGTTAACCATTTTATTTTCTTGATACTTTCGTAGAACTGAGAAGGGAAGAGGAAATTATCAGACTGTATTCTAATGGCCCAAGATTACAGCAAACAATGTCTGCACTGATTTGCCTTCTCACCTTCCTCCTGGAGCTCTGCGGCTGGCAGTTGTGAAGCTGAACAGAAAGATTATATCAGGGTTCCTGTAGCCTTTAACATGAGTTGAACAACTCCTTCTTTAGTAAACTGCAGAAGACACTTACATATCTAAAGCATATTATGAGGTGTTAGGTAATGATGAAATGCTTGGTTTATTATAAATACAGATTATATAAACGTGAAGTATTTATTATTTTATTATTATTATATTGCTACTACCAGTGTCTATTTCCAACAGTTCTTTAGTTTTAAAATACTGTTCTTTCAGTGGAAGAAAATAACTAAAAAATAACTAAAAATAACTAAAACTAAAAATGAATTATCTGGACTAGTATTAAATGGGGAGGTTGGTGGCCCTGCATGTGGCAGGGAGGTTGGAGATTCATGATCCTTGAGGTCCCTTCCAACCCTGGCCATTCTGTGTGATTCTGTGATCTCCATGCCTCAAGTATAGTAAATTACTTCAATTTCGTTTGTATCCTATACAACTACTTTAAATAAATAACAGTGGTTTTATTGTCCCTGAAGAGCTTTACTGTTTGGTTTTATTTAATATGAAAATTTTGACTACCATCTGGTTACCCTATTGTATTCAGTAACAAAATGGTAACAAAAGGGCAGGTAGCATGAACAGCCTGAAACTTAGAAAGATAAGGAGGATTTTAACAGGATTTCAAACACTATTGTTATGGAAGAACTAGAAGTTAGAAAGCTTTTCAGTTCTTGTTGTTATTCATTGTAGTTAAAATTGTAACTATGCATAATATTAGGCAGGAAATAAATGTTTCTGAGGAACACAGAGCTGATAATCATTTGTCCTTTGAGAGTCTATTTTGTTTTGCATCCTAAAAATAAAAGCCCTTTTGTTTATAAAAGGGCAGTGAAGGGCAACCTCTTTAATATTTTTCATTAGGAAATATGTCCTGAACTATATATTATTTAAATATGACTATCTCTAGGCTGTGAAATAAAATCTAAAAAAAGAAAAATATTTGGAAAACGTAACTGCATTTGTGATGCAAGTTTATAAGACATCAAATACATGCTTATTTAAAAGAAAGAAAAAAAAAAAAAGTAAATGCCAGGCTAAACGTTCCTTCATTCTCTCTGTGACGCTACTACATAGAAACAATCAAATTTTAATTTTACTGGCTCTAAAGATGCTACTGATTTTTAAAATCACCAAGGGGCTTTAATGACATTCAAAAATTAAATAGATGCAATTCTTAATTTTTTAAATAAATTTTCTTGGTGCATCAAACCAAGACAAAAACCCAGTTGCTCAACAGAAAAAAATGCATTACCAATAAATGTTTTAATAAGTTGAATCTATGACTATTTCATAGCTTCTATAGGGAGCCACAGTGTGATAACAAGAGTATACAAATACTACAAAGTATTAAGGCTACTCCTTTGAACACCTTGGAGTTAAGAAGTAAGGTTTTTTACCACATATAATATAGTAGACCAGAAATGGCTTTTTTTCTCATAGTATCACCACTATCCTGTCTGTACTCATATACCTATGTTTGCACAAGCTTTAGAAACAGGGTGCTATCTTAAGGCAATTATATATATCAGAGAGTACACTGGAGGAAAATAGCCTTTATTTATCAGACGCTGACTTATGATGATATCCCATTGTGAAAGCATCTTTGTTTATCATAAAACATACCTGGAAAGAAATATGTAATGTGAAGGCATGTAATGACCTTAAATATACTTTACTTTTTGAGGGAAAGTAGCAAAATAAGTGGAAAGTAGACTGTACAGTAAAATACATCGGGAGTAATATTTAATTTTTTATCTCTATAGAAAACGTACAGAACCATACAAAACTGCAGCTGACAAAAGGAAAGAATGACCTAATAACAGGATTTATGACAGAAGATCTGTTTCTGTTGTAATAATCCACAGCAGATTTTACCAGAAAGACCTGATCTAGAGTAACTCCTTATGCAGATAAGCCTATGTCCCTGCAGACTCACCCTGATGGAACTATACATTATCAAATTAGTTTATCAGTGTACCCAAACAGTAGCCCAAGGCATGTAATTAGAAGCATCAAGGTATATTTTTAAAGCCACTGCATAGGAAACCTAGTTGTGTAAGTAATTCCAATTAATGTCAGTGTAAATTTGTGGTAAATCTAAATGCTAGGATTTGAAAAATTTATCCTGTGTACCTAAAAGGACTGGCAGACATTTTTTGTGCTTGCTATTTTTTTATGATAAAAAATAATTTTCCCTATTTTATGCCATTTACATTACTAGGAAAATTTTACTAGCAAATCTGAAAATGATTGTTTTAATACTATTTGGCATCTGCTGTATTATGGTGAAGTACATCCTCACAGTGAGTTGCAGAGGTATTTGCCTGGCCTGTGTGTCAGGGCTCTGTAAGATGCCGTGAGTAGGCAGAACAAAAAAAACGTCTGTTATCCTTGCATACTTCTGAGACAGAAATGTCCACAGGAGTTGAGTTTGAAGTGAAACGATTATCTTGTTAAGTCAGGGAAAAAGAAAGAAAAAATAAAGGAAAAGAAAAATTTTTTAGGATCTGATCAATAAATAGTCTTGTACAAAAATTAAATAATTAAAAAAAAAAAAAAAAAAAAAAAAAAAAGGATGAAAATTGGAAGTTCTGAAGAACAAAGGAAAGCATGCAGCCTCTACCTTGCTTAGGTTAAATCTGTCTCCACTTTTATCTGTCTCCATCTGCTTGCAAGAATAGATGAAAGAAAACACTATTTTCTTTCCCTACTGGTCTGGCCAACCTTCAAACACCACAGTTACAGTCACTTCAGTAAGATTTGTTTGTAGCACACAGTGATGCTTGCTCTCCAGCCTCACGCTAACTCTTTTTATGGGTCTCTCCATCAAACCTAGCACATCCTAGCAAAATAGACAATCTGTGCAACAAGTTCATGCATGTGCCCTTTCTATGTGGCCACATTTGGACAAGGGAAAAGCTCTCAAACAGCATTTATTAAATGCTTCATAGGTCTCACAGCCATTAGACCTTCCACTGTTTGCAACTGACTCCAACAACAAAACAAATGCCTGGAATCTGCAGCTTTGCCCCTGCAACTGGTGCAACTCCCTCACCTCCTCAGGGCACAAGGCTGAAGAGAGCCCCAGAAAAGGATGCCTTTTTGTAGACGGGCAGTCTTCTTCACACCATGTACCCTTCACTTCCTTGCAGCACTGTGCTACGCAGAACAGAATCACAGGATCACAGAAAAACCAAGGTTGGAAAAGATCTCCAAGATCATCCAGTCCAACCACCTATCACCATTAGTTCTCACTAAACCATATTCCTCAACACAAAATCCAAACGTTCCTTGAACACCTCCAGGGTAGGGTCGGTGACTCCACCACCTCCCTAGGCAGCCCATTCCAGTACCTGACCACTCTTTCAGAAAAGTAGTATTTCAGAAAAGTAGTATTACGTCCAGTATTTCCAGCCTAAATCTCCCCTGGCACAGCCTGAAGCTGTTTCCCTCTAGTCCTATCACCAGTTTCACAAGAGAAGAGGTGGACCACCAGCTCACTACAACCTCCCTTCAGGTAGTTATAGACAGTGAAAAGGTCTCTCCTGAGCTTCCTCTTCTCCGGACTCCTCATCTCCTGCTGGCAACACAGTTTCTGATACAAGTCAGAATGCCATTGGGCTTCTTGGCCACCCAGGCACACTGCTGGCTCACGTTCAGCTGAGTATCAATCAGTACCCCCAGGTCCCTTTCCTCTACTCAGTCTTCCAGCCACTCTGCCCCAAGCCTGTAGCATTGCCTGGGATTGTTGTGGCCAAAGTGCAGGAAGCTGTATTGGCCTTGTTGAACCTCTTCCCATTGGCTTCAGCTCAGCTATACAGCCTGTCCAGATCCCTCTGTAGGGCCTCGCTACCCCCAGGCAGATCGACACTTCCAGACAACCTGGTGTCATCTGCAAACTTACTGAGGCTGCACTCAATGCCCTCATCTACGTCATCAATAAAGATATAGAAGAGGATGGGCCCTGGCACCAAACCCTGGAGAACACCACTCATGATCATGAACTCACAAACTTTGCAGGGAAGTCTGCTGTCTGCTCTAACAAACTATCAATGTAAAGGAAATGATCCATTTTGAACCTAGTGCTCTAAGGCTTTCTAATACAAGCCTGAAAAAAACAGTTTACAGACAGTAGAAAAGTGTAATTTCTTTAGCTCTTTAAGTATTTGATAGTTATCTCTCAAGGCAGTTGATAAAACCTAATGGATTATTTTCTTACTGTTATTAAAGTGCCTGTCACCACAGAGTCTGGCTCCAAATTACAAGGTAAAAACCCTGGGTGTGCACACTCCCCTGCTTCCTTCATGTTTTTATTATCCCTGGTGATTTTGCTGCTTTTTTTTTCATCTTCTCCATGCTGCTCCTAGACCCCAACACTGGCAAGTGCATAATTCACCAGAAGACAGCATCATCAGAAGTTAACAATAGAGCTCTTAACTTTGCAGTCAGATACAAGTGTGACATTGAATATAACACTAATAAATGTCTTCTTAAGCCTCACAGTACTAAAAAAAAAACCTGAATATATCCAAAGCAAGTATCTGAATGCAAGGTATCTTTACCTCCCTCCCTTCCCTTCCCCCTCCCTTTTTTTTTTTCTCTCTCTCTCTCTTTCTTTCTCTTTCTCTATTTCTTTCTCTCCTTCTCTCTTTCTCTGTTTCCTTCTTTCTTTCCTTCTTTCTTTATTGTTTTTTCTTCTTCTTCTTGTTTTTAATGCAGTCTTCAAAAAAGGAAGATACTATTATCTACTTCTTTCGCTACAGTTCCCTGTACATATTAAGGCTGCATATACTGTCAACATGTAGCAAATGCTGCTCATTTTGTTAGTGTAGAATCAATGAGAGATAATTTCTCTCAGGCAATTGAAAGTAAGAAAATTTTGACCATTGAGACGAAAATACAATTAGATAAGGGTTATCACAGAACTAATTTTATGGGCACTAAAGCAGTATTTTTTCAAGTAGCTTTCTTATGGCCATTCCACTCGTGTACTAAAATCAAACTTACAGAGAACAAATAAGTACGATCTGACCTACTGCAGGGCAAAGGAGTGATTCTTGTTTCATTGAGCAAAGACTCACAGAAAGCAAAATAATTACCTTTAATCTTATCATTATATCAAAGGGACTCAGGAACCCACTTGCTGGGTTAAGTGTATGAGAAATACAAATTACCTCAGCCCTGCATGCATGGATCCTGAGGTGCTGAATACTAATTTTAGAGGAGTTTTATCAG